GATATTTTACAAAAAGATGTTAAAAACTTTGCCTCAAAACAAATTTTTGCACGATGGCAAACAATTTTAAGTATTTTTGATTTTGATATAGAATATATTAAAGGAGATTCAAACTCTGTTCCAGATTTTTTCACAAGAGAATTTCTTCAAAACAGGTACGATGCCTCCGAGGAAGATTGATAAAGGAAAAGGCATATCCCTGGAACCAATCCCAGAAAAAACCTTACCCCCAAACACATCCTCACAGATAAAAACAGAACCTTGGATCTCTGTTACAAAAAAAAATGTGAAAAAAGAAGAACATTCTGATTCTCTTCAAACTTCAGAGAAAATCATGGATCAAATTCTATAGCTACAAAAAGCCTTCGAGCTAGTTTTTCAAAACAGGAGAAGAGTGATTCTTCTAAAACCCCCTCTTCGAAAAATGTTTTAAAATCCTCTGAGGTCCCTTCAAAAATAATTTTACATGAAAACCAGACCTCTAAAATGATTTCAAAACCTTTAAATAATTCACAAATTATTCTGAAGGAGTTTCCACAAAACTCACCTTCTGAAAATTTTGAAAAAACTATTTACCAAAACATTATAAATATTGAAAAAGGATTTTTGGTTAGCAACGACCCATTTTCAATAATCGAAAAATATTTTGGGAAAAACAGATTTTTCAAACCTCGTAATACAGATAAAACTGTGTTATTCTTTCAAACAATTTTGGAAATAACAGAATCAGTGTCCTTTAAACATTTTTATCTCAATGAAAACCACACTGATCCTGCTTATTCCACTTTTAAAATTCATAAGGTCATTGCTCCAAGCGATTGGGAATACGATCTTAATGAAAATTTAAATTTTCCAGAAAATCTAAAAGATCTCTCTTATTTCAATGTCTCTTTCAACTACTGGGACTATTGTCAGGCTTAGTACAATTCCTTTTTAATCCAATCTCCAAAACGTAAACACACATGGTTAATATTTTTTTATACCACTTGTGATTTATCCAAATCTCCTTATTGGTTCATTCCGTGGTGGAACTATTTTGGTTCTGTTACTGAAATTTTCAAGCCTAACATTCAAAAGTCTTTTCAAATCTTCAAAACAAACTTCATTCCATCAGAAAATGAAAAGAAATTTCCCCCATTAGCCTTTTTTCACTCTAAATTTCATTTTCCTTGGGTTTTTTCTTGGACTCTCGAGTTTTCCTCTGATCCGATTCCAACCATTAGGAGAAAGTTCAGGGTAAAATGGTGGGATAAATTTAAAATTCCCTCAAACCTTTATCCGTCCAACATTCTAGAATGGATAAAAATCCAAAATTCCAACTCCTCCGTCGCCCTTATCCAAACACCAAATAAAAACCAAACACCGGAAACAACCTTTTTATTAGCACAAAAATCCAAAATGTTATCGATGCTAGCAGCTGCTAAATCTGAAGAAGAAATTAAGGCAATCTCCTTACAATTCATGCCTTCAATCTCAGACTCTATTTCACAAACCTCGGGAAGCGGATCAGAATCTAATATCCCAGATGTTGATGAAGAAATTTTTGGAAACAGTGGAGTATGATTTCTCGCCATCAAAGTACAAATCTCGACAAAATCATTGTTACGAAGATATCATAAAGACGAATATTTTGATACGATCCACAACGACGAAATACGACAACACCGCACATCGAAGACCGCATTTCTCGGTGTTGTTTTCCGCAGACGTGACACCACTTTGAAATTGGAGACAATCTTTTGCAAATTGGAGACAAGCTTTTGTGAGAGGATTTATCCATTCTCTACCACTATTTTATGTTTTATTATTATTTTTATCATTTGAACTCTTGTAAAACTCCTATATAAAGGAGTGTGTGGTTAGTTGTAATCTCCAAGTTCTCATTCTCCATTTTTTGATCCCTCTCTTTCATTTTCTCCACCATATTCTCTGAGTACTTGTAATCTTCTACATTGTTACGATCTCCAATAAGTAAGTTTTCAACTTTGTACTATGGCTGGTTTAACCGCTTTTAATTTTATGTAATAAAAAGTATTTTATTCTTGTTTATATTATAATTTATGTTTATCTTTATGTTTATGTTTATATTTATGATTCTATTTATGTTTAAGTGGCTGGTTTAACCGCCCAATTTACTATATAATTATCATTTTTATTTACGTTTCTTATGATTCTATTTATGTATAATTATCATTTTTATTTATGTTTCTTATGTTTATGTTTATATATATATATATATATATATATATATATATATTCCCTCAGATCATCATATTTTCCAACATAATTAACTACACTAGATTTTCCAACGAAATTTTGATTTTTAAACAGTTAATTCATCATATTTATCTTTTTATTTATCTTGATTTTATTAGACTCATTATCTATCTTCATATTATCATAGTTTATTATTTTCATTTTTTGATTTTATTTTTCATCTTCAACATTATTATCATTGTATTTTCTGAAATTCCTCTTCATCACCTTTGTGTTATCCTTCTTCTTCTTCTTTATTTTTCTTTGTCTTCATCTTCCTCCTCATCTATCTTCTTCTTCTTTTTCTTTATTTTTCTTTATTTGTCTGAAATTCCTCTTCATCACCTATGATTCAAATTTGTTTTTTTTTATAGTTTTAAATTATTAATAAATGTTACTAAATATTAATTGTTAGCAAAAAAAAAACACGTATCAGCGAAATATCAACTGTTAGCAATCGGCGAATTTACTTTGATCAAAAACACGTAATCACAATTACATTAAGCTGGATCAAAACTAATTTAAATTTGAAATTTAAATATGAAGTAGTTTCCATAAAATGTTAGTTGTTTAGTTTGAAAATCCTTGAATAAACAAGAAATAAAAGATAGGTTAATGCTCCCTAGGTCTAATGGTTGATCAAGAGTTCATTAATTCTTCTACAACAAGAGATATGGTTTTTGAGTCCCAGAAAATGCGATTTATTATTAAATGCAGGTTAATGGAGACAAGTTCTTTACGCCCACCAGTTTGCGGCCTGTATCAGTTATAGGGAGATACCACAAGTTCTTTAAACCCTGTCCTTTCAGATTGATAAAGCCGTTTTAACCTATCAGTTATAGAGAGATACCACATACTTTGGTACGGTATCCTTTTACGCCCACCAGTTTGCGGCCTGTATCTTGGTTTTTGGCAAAATCGACATTCCTCCAGCTGATCATCATCTTTCCAAAAAATCATACAATTGTCAACTCATACATCTATCATCTCAGAAGGTAGACCAAAACTAAAAATCAACTTCTGAATTTCATAGTATGTTCCCGCTGCCAAGTTATCCTCCGGTAGATACTCCTTCAGAAGATCAGCCCAATCATCCATGCAAACCTCAGCCAGGTTATGATCTGTTTTAATTGACATCATCCTAGCTGCCAACGATAATTTAGACAAGTCTTCTCTACATCCTTCGTAGATTGGCTGATTAGCATTGTCTAACAAATCATAAAATTGTTTGGCATCTACATTAGGTTCCTCAACAGCATTACCCGTATGCGTTTCATGAAATGCATCAGTCACCATTTCGTGCATCCTATCATGATCTACACTTTGGTCATATTGATACTGATTAGGCTGATGACCATAATTCGATTCATCAATATCAACATGACTTTGATAATTACTACTACTACCAGCATTCCCATGGGTATTACTGCCATATCCTTCTCCATGTAGATACCAAACAAAATATTGCAGCATAAACCCTCTATTTAATAAATGCGTCCACACGGTTTTGGTTAGTGTATACCTCGTATTCTTGCATTTCAAACAAGGACAAAACATCTTCCCACTATCTTTCGTTCTTTCCATATTTGTAGCCTGATACATAAATATTTCTAACCCGTTCTTGAACTCTTCTGTCAACGCCCCATCTGAATCTTTACGCATATACATCCAACTTCTTAGCTCGTATATAGACATCTTGAAAATAAACTCAAAATACTATCTCTTTTTATTGATTAGACAATAAAGGAGGTAGTCTCTTGTGTCACGTCTAGCCACGTGAATGGAGTAAATTAACCTTATAATATTATTACTTTTTTTTTCAAAATAATATAACTCTTAATTCGGGTTTCCAGCAATGGACAACCAATTATATAAGGATTTACAACACTATACTAAAATTTAAGAGACCTACAATGGGTCTCCAAGATGAAGATGCTCTTATGTTTGAATGATGATGTGTTGTGATTGAATGAAGGAATGAAGATCTATTTATAGGAAAATTTCGGGCTTTACAACGCTTTTACGACGACTTTTTACGACGATTTTACATTCAACAATAATATTACGACGAGTTTACGACGATTTTGCGATAAAATCTTTCATCTACAATTGTTAGGTAAACATGTTTTAAATGTTTTTCACCTAACTTCTTTTTCGACGTAAAATTGTCGTAATATGTACATCGAAATGAAGTCGTCGTATATTCGTCGTAATTTTGCATCGAATTTACGATGATTTTACATTTACTAGCAAATCTCTCGTTATCGATGTATAATCGTCATAAATTGTACGTCGAGTTTACGACGATTTTTTTATACGACGGTTTTAAAATTAGACGTAAAATCGTCGTAAAATCATTGTAATTTTGCGACGATTTGAAAACCGTCGTAATGGACCGTTGGAAAACGATTGTTTTCTTGTAGTGTTCAACGTAGCGCAGCAAAATCTGTTTGGCGTATATACAAGCAGAAGAATTATCCGTTGTAGAATAGTTCTCATAATTTATAATAGAATAGTAGTTCTAGTGTTAAAAAAAAAAAACACGAAATAAGAGACAAAAGATCAATTTCTTAATCAATGACAAAAACTGAATACAACTTTTAAATGTAAACGGTTTGTTATGACAAAAATTAACCATTAGAAAAAATCCTAAAACCAAATTGAGGAATTATCTAAATAATAAGATACAGGCTGCATCAGACTCGTCCTTGGAAATCTAAATTGTTATCCTCAACTTTAAATCTTTAAGTTGTGATCTTCATCTTCAAATTTTTTCCACTGGACGTCTTCTCAGCCACTTCGGAAGTGCAAGGGATCCTATACAGCCACCGCGGAAGAACAAACATCCAAAAAAATGATGCTGAGAGAACAAGAAACTTTCTCTTGCATCCAACAGAACTCAGAGTCTGACCGTTTCTGCTACGTTCCAACTCATTGTAAACCGTAGATTTACCACTGCGTAAGTTGATAGATGCCAAAGTTTTATACATCTCGCTCCACATATACATTGTATTACCATCAAAAGGGTGCACGAAGAGCGGCGAATAATCTAAATAGTTGCCGCTTAAACCCGGGGAAGTTTCAGATACTAGCTGCCATTCACCGATCTTTAACCTCCATACCTTTAACTTATGCTCCATTGCACCTTCATCATAGTTGTAAATAGAGGCTATGTTCATATACATGAGATTTCCTTGAGAAGTTGTGCAAGATCTCTTGAAATTCATTTTTTTTTCTGAGTCAGGGAAAGGTATAACTCGGTATGGATGATCACAAGAACCGTAGAGATCGATTGACACAACAACTTCTTGACCATCAAGACTGCGACCAAGCCAGTGAAGACTTCCGTTCAAGCACTTCCGTTCAAGCAAATGGGAATTGGAATCTTTAGACGGCTTATTGGGATAGAATAATGGAGATTGTTGGAACTCCACATGCCTGTCTCAGATGAATAGATTATTAAAGTAAAGAGATGTTCGTTTCTATTGTTGACTGTATCAATCAGAACAACTTTGTAACTCAAAACGACGCCGTTTTCGGTTCTTGTGACAAGCCCGGCGTGACTGGAATGAAAAGATTCAGGAAGAGGAGGGATTTTGACGCATTGTCCTGAAACCGGATTAGCCACGTAATAGGTTGGAATTCGAGTCCAAGGGTTAGATGATGTGATCACACAAATCAATATTAAACCGACTTCCGTGTAAGCCAAGACTCTAACGTTTTGATTGTGGAATTTCGCGGTTATGAGAGAGGAGACGTAAGAGCCAAGCGATCGTTGAAGACCCCAGACTTTGCATCCGTAGTGAGCCACGACTTCTTTAGGTGAATGATTACGCAACATGAGAGACCATGAAGAGTGCGAGTTTTGATGATGAGCGAGAAAAAGCTCGCGGAGAAACGGAGATTCGATGATTGATTTCCATTGCTTGCAAACCAATTTGGAAGTGGTCATGCTCTTAATCGGTAATCTTGCAAGTATAACCGTCCAGATATCCTCTGTGAATGTGAAGGAATCCATCTTCCTTCTTTTCTCTATTTCCATATAGGTCTCTGATCTCTCGTATTCTCGTCGATCGGGTGAGAAGATTGGAGAAAAAGGTAAACTTAGGGTTTTGTTTTATATAGTCAAATCGATCGGTTTGGAGCGTTCTGAAACCGAACCGAATCGAGAACCGAGGACTTTCTAGAAAGTTACGGATTCACCTCTAAACCGAAGCCTAACGGAATTGACTTATTGACCAAACTTTCGAATCGGGCAATTCATTTTAGTATTTCTTCGCAGACCTACATAAAAGGAAATTCCCGCTTTTTTGTTTCTTTTCCTTTTTTTTTTTTTGAAATTTCTCTCTTTTTTTTTTCTTCTTTGTAATTTTTGAGAGATTTGTTAAGAAAAAAGTATATAGATTTAAGAAATGTAAATATGTGAGTTAACTAGTTAGGTCCAAATCCAATATATTTTGGAGGTTTTTACTCAAACATTGGTTCTTATCAAGAACTTCTTGACATAATCAGTAATCCTTAGAGGTAAAGTGTTTTGAGTTTAAAAAAAGGATAGAGATAATAAGCATCTTCAGAAAAAAAAGAAATTCCATATCAAAAACCAAACCAATTTTTATCATGAGTTCAATTATTAAACTGAAGCAAATCAAGTGAATAAATTTAAGTAGTGGAATAAACATGCAAAAGGTAGAAGGAAAAGATCACTTGTGACCGATGAGATGAACATCTTGAGGAAGGAGAGTGTAATCGATCTTAAGCTCCTCGAGTATTCGCTTCATCTCGATGAACAGGCCGGTTCTCCTGACATTCTTCTCTGCAAAGTTTTGGAAGTTGATGGTGTGCTGGACGAGCAGATTCATTTTCAGTTTGTTCACATTTTCAATTGCCTTCACCATCAACATGGGTTCTGGATACCAATGTTGTGGGTTTTGCACCAAGTGTCTGACCAAAAACAAAACACACACACCAATTTCTAGTTAATACACAGTAAGTAGTGAGTACTAGAGGATAGTTTTTGTTTTGCCTAATAACTTACTTTGCAATTCTTTCCTTGAAAGTGGCTATTTTCGTGGCCGGTGTTGAGAATGCTATGGAAAATTCTATAAAATCTCCCATATCTGGACTTCTGTAGTAATTGCTTATTGGTTTCGATATTAAAACTGCATTTGGATAGAACACTTTCTCATTGTCAATCTTGAGGAACACGGTCGTCAAAAGATGTATTTCTTCAACCAGCAACTTCAAAACAAAACAACAGGGGAAAGAAATATACTCAATGAATTAGAAGTTTAAAATGAGGCAGGAGTGAAATGAATCTAATAATAATAAATTGCTCAGGGTAAGAAAAAAAAATTGCTCAGGGTAATAGTGATGAGCAAAAGAAACTTCAGAGTCAATTACCATTACACCGTCGATAACGCAACGGTCACCGACATCATAAGGGTGCATCACAAACACAAACACAAAGGATTCAAAGATATTCTTGCAAGTGCTTCCGATCATGAAAGCAAGACCCACGAATTGAGAGGAGAAGACCACCAAAAACTTGGTCGTTGCTATATCCAAAAGTATCAACCAAATGATGAATGTGGCAACGGTCAAGATTCCAATTATAAGTTTGTCCACCTGCTTAACCGCTGTTTTTGTGTCGTTCAACGAATGTCCTAGAGCTTTCCGACTTGTATAAACTTTAATCTGTCAACAATTAAGGCAACAAATGCTTACACAAAAAAGTTTTACAACTTCTCCAAAATAGGCATGGACACAAAAACAAAGGGCTTATTTTGTATGACCGCGTAAATCATGGACCACAACCTAAACTTATTCAAGAGCTTATAGCGTCTACAATGGCCAACACTTGAAGATAAAGACTCATATTTGAAAAGGTGTTTGAAGAATGTTACCACCCATTCTGTCAAAGCTTTGCGTGTGATTTTTCCAGTCTCGGCACCTTCTATTAATGGGAGTACAAGGTCTACCTCTTCCTTTATCATGAACCTCAATAAGTCAGCTTCCTCTATGTAACTGAAAAGAAACAGTGTTAAGTTTGCATATGTTTATGATGAAAACAGAGTATTTTGTGATGACTCACTTGTGGTTCGGATGAGCCACATTGTTGAAGATATCATAAGCAGCAGCCACAGCCTCCATCTCATTAGTTATCTCTTTATTGGTTTTCTTCTCATTGTGACACTCATCTAACGTGTTAGATATGGTTGAGAGACCTGAACCTCCCACGGCTTCAATCAAAACTCTCATTGTCAAAGCAGAGACTTTCTCTTGTTTCATCTTGTGAACCTTACCCATATCGAGCACTTTCTTCCCTCTCACCGATCCATCCTCGGTGCTCGTGAAGCTAAGGTGTCCTGTGCTTGGCTCTTGCCCGACCTTCTCTGCCTCTTCTATAAGCGGAGGTCCAGAGAGGGTCTGGAGAACGTATTGGTGGAAGACAGACTCTTGAATCCTCTCAAAGAAGTTTCTTACGTTGAACTTTGAAGCAAGAACTTTCAAGGCCAATGTCTTCACCATGAAAAGGATTGACCCGATGAGAAGGGAGACAATAGTCCAAGTTATAAAGTCGAGAAACTTCTTGGTCTTACGAGAGTGTTTATGGTCCTCTTCGAACAAAAATATCCAAGTAACAAGAATCAAGCTAAACCAAATGAAGACTTGAACATTCTTCTTCAAACCATGCACAAAGTACAACACTTTTTTCCGGAGGAGGTAGTTCTTTTCTATGATGAACACTGCTAAATGCATGAACCAGTTAGTAAAGCACATGCCACAGAGCGTAACCATCACAAGCACGCACCATTTCCAGAGTTCCAAACCCCAAATGTGATGCTTGTTCACCTGATCAACGGTTAAACTCACAACCAAAGTGCACAGAATGGTCATAAGCACTGCGTATTGAAGCAGAGCCATAGGTTTTGTCCTACTACGCTTCACCTGGTTTTGCTTAACCTTTTTGTAGATTTCCTCATTTTCATCCGTTTCTTCCTCAGCAACTTCACTCATTGCTGCTGAGTCCACGCTCCTATCTCGTTTATCGAAAGAAGTTCCACCATTTTCTTCTACTATAGTTTTATCGAATCGAAAAGACTGTTGTCTCCCAAACCTTGAATTGGGCTTGGAGTAAACTGACCTCGAAAAAGATTTCCTCCGAGCTAGACCTTCATCGTTAGCTGGGCTAGTACCAGAGAGCTTATCGATTTCAGGAGTGGGAGTGCTTAACGGCTTTGTTTTGGTAGTCACCGCATCTGAATCTTTATCTGAAACATTAATCACAACTTCTCCTCCGTCGCTGGTTTTCCTCTCTGCCATGCCTAATAAGTTTGCGGTGGAAGTTGACCCCAATGGTTCTCAGAAGAACCCTAAAGCTGGACCAAATCCTAAGAACACAAGGGTAGAAAAATGTACCAATGGTTAGATCAATCACAAACTCTAAACACCATAAGATACAATGAGTATCAGATGTTTGACATCGACTTTGAACCAAGTTTTGCACCTTTAACCCTAAACCAAACCCTACAAGGCTAGAACAGAGATGTGCAAGATTGATCATTTGTTCTTAGTGTATGAGTATTTTAAACTACTCGAGAGTTCAAATAAAACCCACCATTTAGATCAAAATTTCCCAAAACATATATGCATATATACTTTCACATAAACAGAATAGACAGTGCATAGACTACTCAGGTATGAGCTTACTAATATCAGCTATGAAAAATGTTGATGTTAGAAGAGTTTTAGTTACCAGAAAACAAAGAACAGTTTGAAAGGAAGAGTCGATAAAAATGGCTCCAAATCAGAAGCCATTTATGGAACTCTGTATCCTTTGGTGGACCAAGAAAAAAAAACAATTTTTTAGAAACTGAAAAGGAAAAGAGAAAAAAAAGAGCAGAAGATCGTACAAGAACCCAAGCAAGGAATGATCTTCAAACTTTAGTCCTCTTTTGCAAAGAACGAACTCCAATTTCAAGTGCATTTTAGAAACCAAAAGAATTCCAAAGTAATAAAAACTACTAGGCCTCAATTATTTTATATATTAAATGACTGTACTATATATATATATATATATATATTCCTTAATTTGCAAAATGACTTTTCATGTGATTTGTAATTGCAAAAGAGAAACAAGTTAGGTGGGAAATTGCAGTTTCTGGTCCAAATATCATGCAATATTTATTCAGTAAAACATTTATTTATTTTTAATATTTTATAACCTGTAAAAAAACTCAAAAGTGGAAAAGTAGAAAGAAATTAAATCACCTGTAAGAATAAATAAAATAAGATTGAGAATATCAATACGGAATTACTTATGGATTTTTTTTTTTGAAGATAGTAACAGTTATTATTTCTTTTGATTCTCTTATTTTTGTTTGGTTTCCAGTTAAATTTTGCCACATGTTTTAATATATATATATATATATATATATATATATATATAGTTTTTGCTATTTTTATTTAAGTTAAGTTTATCTATTGTTATTTAACTAATATTGACAAAATTATTTTCATACAGATTTCTATATGAATTATATCTATCCTTTTTATAATCTTATTTTATTTTTTGTTTTCTTTTCTAAAATCGATATGAAGAATTAATATTTGTTTTTTATTTTTTTAATTATTTATCTAATTAGATTGATTGATGGATTGTGTTTTGCAGATTTTTAGTCATCTTGAGAGGTAAATCTCCTGCAAAACCGAAAAATGTGTGAAGGTTCGGAAAACACAATGAGGGTGTGTTTTCCGAAGGGTTTCCAACATTTAAATCAGAAAACAACCAAGAAATTCCACTAAGTGGCTAATTGGAGAGCAGAAAACGATTGAAAAACTTAGGAAAGGCAAATGGGCCGAGCGTTCCTAAAAAAGGTAGAATCGACTCAGCCTTTTGAGTGGTGATGGGCTTTTGTCATGGAAAGAGAAGAAAGAACAAAGTTGCTGGTGAAAATGCTCCACGGTTTAAGAACCGCGAAGAGGAAGTGAAGAGTTGGTCAGAATAACGATCTGAAAAGTGTGAAATGCTAGAGCTTAAGAGTCACAAGTATCTAAGAAGATATTATGAGTCTCAAGATGGCTAAAAAAGTGAACCCCTCCTCTTTGGAAGAAACAAAGTATCTATAGAATTTTACCTAACCCATGTTAGTATACCGGGTTGGTCCTTGGGTAGTAAATCGGATGGGTCGGTCCTCGATCCGACTTGACTCGGTTCAAATCTTGTGATTGCGTCATGCTTCTGACGGTCTCACCTACTTTCCTTGGCATGTTCTGCCTGCTACGAGATCGCTCCTTGGCGCGTCTCTTTCGCATTCAGTGTACGACTTGAATCGGCGATTCAGGCGGTATGGCTCTCGCTGAACCTCTGCTTTTCCTTCTGGCTCCTGCGAAAGGTCACTGTCGCCTGACACATATAATAGAGATGTATTAAATGCCAATCTCGTGGGTTTGTAAAGGTATGGGTAATTAAATCAGACTAAGACATATTTCTATTGTCGAATGTAGAGATATTTGAATAGTGTTTCCCGCTTATCGGGCTGCCAGGATTGCTTAGATGGATGACTCTGCTCTCTAGTACTTGTGCGGACCACTCTTCCTTATGTCTTGACCCTTCCGGATTACCGAGCTTAGGTCTAGGACATAGAGAATGTGACATCTCTTACTCCTGACCACTCAGTTTTTGACCTTCTTGTCTCTGACAGCGTGACTTGCGCTGTCAGATACGAGGAACCCGGGAACAGGTGGCCTATCGTGCCGATCTCCCGACTCCAAATGGATTCAAAGTCCGGTTTTATATGTTTAGGTCGTATTGGGCTGTAAGTCCAATACGAGACCTAATTTGGTCCTAGAGAGTCGTATTTGCAAAAACGTTATGGACGTCACGTGCAAATAGGCAGTTCGTCCATATAGAAAAGATCGAATTTATCCCCAACAGATTAACTGATATTGTTACGATCATGTTGATTATAAGTTTGAGATATCATGCTTCATATAATAAGATATGTTTCACCATTTCTTAATTCTTAATTAACATAACAAATCATTTATACAAAATTCATGTTGTGTGTTAAAACCACCTGAGAAAAAAAAATTTCACTTGGCCCCTATATATGTATATATCTCTATATATCACCTCCTAGTCATAAAAAAATGTAGTAAATGTAAAGTTTTTATTTTTTGTTAATTTATATTTTTCTATATAATGAGTTACAATATGGTCTATTCCATCAAAAATATTTAGATCAATTAGAAGAAAACAAGTTTAGAGTTATGATGAATAGTGATTTTTGTTTGTTATATGGATATATAGTGGCAGAGCCAGTGAAGGAGCCGGGAGACCCCATCATTTAAATTTAGTAATGTAAGCATATAACTATTGTATATTGAATCATTGATATCAATTGGTTAGTTTTTATAGTGGCGAGAAAATCCTAAAACGAGCTGAAATTAAGTAGATAGGAAAAACAGTAATGCGTGGGAGAAAATCGAATTAAAAAGAGTGGCATTTTACCGAAATCATCTTGAGCAGATATTCTGTAAGCTATTAATATTTAAATACAAAAAGAAGATAATATCGTAGGTGTAGAAGCTAAAACGGTGATAGGTCTGCTGCTATGTCTCTGCGGGCCACAGAATATTGGCGCTCCCGAAGTGTGGCATTAAATGCGATATCTAAAAGATCTGCTCGTTGTATGATGTATGTTAATGCAACATGCATGGATATGCATGTTATTAGGGTTTTTTACCCTCTATATAAAGAGGTACCGTCCACAGACTTGAGAATATCAGCCACCAAGCTAAAAAGCCAGTTAAAATCCAAAAGATAAAGTTGTCTTCTAGTTGAGAACGTCGAGAAAGATTCAACTGTTTCCGGGAAAGGTATGAAAACAGTTATGTTAGACACCAGATATATACATCTCTTGTAGTCTTATAAAACCATTGTTGGGTAATAAATGCGAAATACTGTCTTAATAACATAATAAATGTTTGACCTTTGATTCTGTATAGTTAATGTAACCGATAAATCTGAAAGTGGTCGGTAATGTATAAATGGTTTGTAAATGTAATCGCAGATGGTTGGGAAATTGGTGATGCTAGTTCGCGGTGTCTGGGAGAAAACAGAGGTCGGAGCTTGGAGTTTTCAGGTCAACCAGCAAGGAGAGATTTATGCAATCATGATTCTAGAGAACGAGAGCTTCGATGGACTGATGAACAGTGTGCGTGCGAGATATCAGGTGAACAAAGCGACAGAGGTGGCCTTGACCTACCAATTTCCTGACTGGATGTTGGTTCCGAGTGGACCCCCCACACCACCGGTGGATATCATGAGCAACGCCGATGTTGAGGTGTTCATGGCTGTGAGGATGGAGGTGGCGGAGCTACCTATGTTTGTGACTATTGGAACGGAAGTTGTTAACCTTTACAACTTCCAGAAGAGGTCTACCTACGTTGTTGGAGGACCATCGAGAGAGGTGGCGGATCCAAGTCCACAAATACAGTTTGGTACTAATGACTACAGAGGAAAGTAAAATTGTAGATATAATAACTAGTATAATACATTCGTTGATAACGGTGGAACGTTTTTTTCTTTTTTGGCAGGAATGGTACCGAGGGAGTACATACCTTGCAGCCACAGTGTCTTACAAGAACTGTGCACTCCGGAGGAGTTAAGGAGACTCGAGAAGGCGTCGGCAGATCTGGAGGAGCTACAGGCCAGAAAAACAAATGGAGTGTCACCGAACCACGTAACCAGAACAATAGAGAGACAGTCATCTGCTGGCTCAAGCACCGTTCCCACAGTTGCGGGATCACCAGTAGAGGGAATCATAAAGCTGACAGATGAAGAGGAAACGCAGATGGGCCCAGGTAGTTTCGACGCTGCCCTGGCGAACTTGGCATTAATGATGCCAGTGAAAGGTAAAATGAGGTTTCGATTTAACTGTTATTGATTTCCATAGTAGTGGGGCGTATAAGTAGGGCTGGATTTGCAGGTATAACAGCAGGACCTATTGGACACGTTACGCCCACCACACTAAATTTTAGTGGGGATAAAGGGAAAGGGAAGAGCATAGATGAAGGCATAGAGGGTGGTTCGAATCTGGCATTGACTTTGGCGTGTCCGTCGTCGTCAGATACAAATGATCAGATAGCAGAAGACAGCGAGGATGTTGAATTAGGCTGGGATGTGTTCGTAGGTAATGAGAAAGATTTAAGTTAATAAATTAAATTAGCAAGCTATTTGTGATGATAGTTGGTATTTTTTTAGTAACCGCTACCGTTTTCGAAATATAGGTGATGGTTTAAGCAGAACAGATGAAGTG